TCTGTTTGTTGAGCTTTAGGAGTGTTTCCCGTTGAGTTTAATGGGGTGCATACCCTGCCCCCACAGTCTATTTTCGGTGTTTCCCGGCAAGTTAATTGCTTGGATCCGCTTGCTGCTCCGTTGCATGCCCTGTGTTTCACCCTGGTGTGGTGGGGTCAGATCAGGCACAATTCCTGCACTGAGTCTCCAGTGTTGTCCCCATGGTACTCTGGGTCAGTGAGGGTAGTCATGTCTCATGGTGAGGTCGGCCCTATGGTCCCCTGCGTGCGTTGGCTGCTCCGAGCAGGAATATTGTCCTTGGGGCATGGTGGGCCAGGATGTGTTCCACTCTCTGCCCCTGTGTGCTCTAATCAGACATGCCTCTCTCCCTGAGCTGTAGCTTCAGTGCTGTCCTCTGAACTGCATTCTTCTGGAAGGGGTAAGCGGGTATGGGCATGTACATGCAGTTGTGATTTGGGCCAGAGCGATTGGGGCCAGTGTGCAATCCATACATCAGTTGTATCAAGCGCTTTAGTACATATGTTGCCATCATTTTCAAAACATTTTCTTTCTACTTGAGCCCTTGTTATCAGCTCCTCTTTTTGGGTAAGTTATATATAATGTCATTGTTGAACTCTATGCATTGGATTGCCAAGTTGAATTATGTATGTTTCTTATTTCATGCAAATATTAAAAATACTGTTTTGTTTTAACTGATAAGACCCTTCTTGCTATGCCATACCATCAAGACCCAAAAATTCAGAGTACCAGCCATAGTTTATCATTTTTACTTACAGTTTTACCATAAGTAAGCAATTGAAATTAAACATGTCAGGAGCTTCAAATTTTCTGCTTACGACCAACTAAAATCATTAACCACTGGTACTAAAAGCACTCTCACTTAAACCATGAAATCTTTCAAGTATTTTTCATTCCACTTTCCAGAACATTGGAAATTTAAATTAGGCTTGTCATGATCCAATTTCAGGCTCCGTACTCTCAAAACAACCAACCATTGGAACTTAAATTTGTGAATTTGGAGCTAATAGTAAGTCACAGATGAGTGCCATTATTTTTTATGAGTGCCATGTTAATTTTTAACAATAGACCTGTAGTCGATGCACATGTTTTCCCAAAATCATGCTTCCACCCCCATGCCCTCTACACACACACACCCCCCCCCACTTACTCTTCTTTTATAAACATCCTTTGGAAAGATTACTTTGAAAAAAATTTTTAAGGCATTTATATTTCAGTGTTCTAACATATCTAAAATTTTTAGCCCTAAAATTGAAATTTCTAATAATCTGGTAATCCCCTTGATCTTATAGATCAGTCTGTGTCCTTGGGACTTCACTGTTTTTATTCACAGGTATTCCATATGACTTATTTCCATATTCCAGTCAGCTTCATCTCTCAGATTCATGGTTTTACATGCTAATTACATGTAACGGTAAAATGATTTTATATATAATCTCATTTCATTAATAAAATCCATCTACCATAATAGAAGCTTTCTTGGTATTTAGTTATCAAACAAGTCAAGGAAGACAAATATTGGTGGTTTTTCCTTTCCCCTCATTTGCATGTTCATATTTATGGGACTTTTAATGTCCCACAAATTATACTGTAAAGGGATATCAAATGATTTCTCAAATTACCTACAACTTAAACTGGATGTAATTGAAAACTTTTTTTTTTCTTCCAGAGGAGCTTCTGAACTTGTTAACACTCAACAAGCAATTATATAATGATGACTTGGTGCTTTGGGAATTCTGAAAAACTTATTATAAGTAATTACTTTCTCAGGATTTGAGTAGAATCATATTTTGTTGATAATCTTAGTACTTTAGCTTTATTTAGCAAAATATAGTTAGAGAATCCTAATTCTCTGTTAAAATGTTAAGCTTCTCTTGGATACCTCAAGGTATCTGTGTTAAGTATATTCAGCATTCAAGAATCTTTCATACAAGAAAATGCTTTGGAAATGTTGATGGCAGCATATGTACAAATATGCTTAATACAAGTAAATGATGGATTACTATAAGATTTGTAAGAGCCCCTCAATAAAATTATTGATAAAAAGTCTTTCATACAAGATCAAGGCATGTTAGAGTTTATCAGGCTATGAAGTGGAAGGCAGCAGTTTACACAAGATTACCCTTACTTTTAACATCACCTACAAGTTCACAGCATTCCTCAAATCACCTGCAGTTCTCTAGAATCTTGAATCAAAATGTACCATTCTCCTGATCTCATGTCTAAAGAGCCTGTTTTTCTTGGATGCAATTGGCCACATAATCCATTTCCTCTTCCTGTTCTTGACTCTCCCTCCTTTATTGTTCCAAGGGTATAGACACTAATTTTGCCTTGTCACTTGTCAGCTTTTAAGACCCCAGCCACTATGCAGTGAACTAGGAGGTAGAACGGAAGCACTAAACATTATTAGGCCAATTAACTAAGATGGAACTGTGGTTCTAAACCTCCAAATCAAGGAACCAAATTTCTTGAGGTGTTTGGCATTATATAAGTAACCCCAAGGACTGTTCTTCTGTGTCACTGTAAATATATCTATCACACAACTTTGCCAGTTCAACTTTTTAGAGGTGTACAGTCAACTTACTAAGAGCACTTAATTAACTGCATTTCTGTCTTTCACCAATGCCACTATAAACAGAAAGGTGTTCCATGTTGTTATCCAGCTAAACAAACCAGTGACACTCTATATACAAGAAAAAACCTTTATATTAATTTATTTTATATCAAAAGGACATCCCAGCCCAGTCTAACTCAAGTGCATAAGTCCAATGCAAGCTGAGGCCCTCTTCAGACTCTCATAGCTGCAGGCCAGTGACTCAGAAAGGCGAAGCCAGAGGCAGGGAGATCACAGGCCTCAGTGGGTGCCAAGCCTCATGAATCCAAGCTTGGAAACATGGCATGGTGCCAACTGCTCTCAGGCTTGGGTGACCCACACGAGGCTCCCACTGGAGGCAGGCATAGATTTGCAGCAAAAATGAATTGAAGGGCGAAAGAGAAGGAGGAACAGTTCCCAGTGTCTCTCAGAAAGGCCCACCTGCCCTCATCAGGTTGCACTCTGTCCCTGCACAAAAGTGACAAAATCTAACAACACCCTTCTTCCACTCCCAGTGCCCTTGATAATCACTAAAAACATTGGTCTTTATACATTTGCCTGGTTTTTTTTTTCTTGTGTTAGTGAGGTCACACAATATTTTTCTTTTGTGATTGACTTATTTCACTCAGAATAATGTCTTCAAGCTCCATTCACATTGCAGCCTGTAGCAAAACTTGGCTTCTCTTAACTGGCTTGAGTAGTGTTTTATAGTATATACCACCTTTTGTTCATTCCTGGTTGATAGGCATTTCGGTTGCTTTGACCCTTCCGTTGTTATGATCAGTTCTGCAACGAACATTGATATACAAGTCTCTGTTTGAGTCTCTGCTTTCGTGTTTTTTGTGTACACCTAGGAGTGGACTTGCTGGACTATGTAGTCGTCATATGTTTAGGGTTTTATGAGGAACACCACCCTTTCCACAAAGGACGTACCATTTCTTTACCAATGGATAACAGTTCCAACTTTCCCACATACTCACAGCATGTTGTTTTGCTTTGCTTTAATTTTTTTATCTTGGCCATCCTGGTGGGAGCGAAATGATGTCTCATAGTGTTTTTGTATCTCAGATGGCTAATGACATTGAACATATTTTCATGTATTTGGTAGCCATTTGAATGTTTCCTGTAGGTGACGTGTCTAAACCAGTGGTTCTCAACCTTCCTAATGCCACGACCCTTTAATACAGTTCTTCATCTTGTGGTGACCCCCAACCATAAAATGATTTTTATTGCTTCTTCATAACTGTAATTTTGCTCCTGTTATGATATGCAGGATGTATTTTCATTGTTACAGATTGAACATAATTAGAGCAAAGTGATTAATCACAAAACAATATGTAGTTATATATGTGAAATATATATTTCTAATGACAAATAAATGAAATTTTGTCTTGAAGCATGGTGTAGCATGGGTAAACAGTCTTCACACCAGGTCCTCGGAGGTGGGCATATCTGCATGTGGGTGGACCTGCTTGGAGAAGGATAGAGGAGCGATGTCTCAGTTCCTAAGACCATCAGAAATACGTGTTTTCCAGTGGTCTTAGGCGACCCCTGTGAATGGGTTGTTAGACCCGCAAAGGGGCCTCGACCCACAGGTTGAGAACCACTGGTCTAAACCCTGTTAAGTCATCAGAGTTTTCTGTTTGATTCTTATTTGATCTATGGTTTCTGAAGACATTCTCCCAGTTGGTAGCTTGGCTTTTCACTTGTTTTGTAAATTGTTTATTGAACAAAACTATAAAATTTTTGTGATGTTCCATTGTCTTTTGCTGTGTGTGCTTTTATTCTATTAGGTAATTTATTGTAAATAGCTAGGCCTTGCAGAGTTAATTTCCCCTGTATTTTCTTCAGATAACTCTTTGGTTTTAATTTTCACATTTACATCTTTAATCCATTTTTAATTTGTTTTTGTGTGTGCTGTGAGGCATGTTTCATGTGTCATTTTAATCAGCTAAATACTTTAAAACATTTACGAAGATTATTACCAAGTCTTAACTCCTGAAGAATATTTTCTCTAGTTTCTAAGTAGAGAAACTGAGCCATAAACTATTTCTTCTAGACCAAGTGAGGCTTATAACTAATTTCCCTATTTTATCAAATTTTACATATGGCGTGTGGGTAGAGGCTTAGTTGCTAAAATGAGATTAAGTCCAAGTCTTTGATGATTTTGTGATTATAAGTTAGTTAAAACAAAAGCTTACATTTATAAAGACATATATAAGGTGCATGTGATAAGAGTAAGTTTTGTTGTAGACATATTTTGGTCTACTTTTTAAATTCAGTTTTCTCCTATAGCAAAATATGTGCAATTCTTCTTTGACTAGAAATAGTTTACTTTGCAAACTAACATTGCTTTTCCTCATTGTTACATTCTACACTGCTGACTTAGGATGTCAACCATGGATTAAGTGAGGTGAGTTTAGTGTAAGAGAGATAAGTTCTGTCTTGTCTTTAGTGATGAGAATCAAAAGTTCCTTTTTTATGTGCTTTTGTGTTTTGAACATATGTATAGCATCAGTGTTGTTCCCCAAAAAGCGAGTCTATAGAAATTATCTGACATAACATTTCAGAGTCATTTTCTGAAGAAAATGTAAACTTGTGTTTTAATTAACATATGTATATGATGCCATGCATTCATTGTTGTGTTAAATTAAAGCTTATCTTCCTTAAATATTCTAGTACAGAATTTTGTTCAAGAATATAAAAATAAACTATTGTTTTTAAATTTAATACCAACCTAATAATTGTTTCACATGCTAACTTAATATATAAAGTTCGAGCACCTTGATTTAAGTGGTTAACAACCCTAAACCACCCATTTCTATTTGGAGAAGTTACTATACATCTTAGATTTCCTATAAGTAAATCTTTAGAAGTTAGTATATATCTCATAGATTTGGGCTTTTATTTTTTTCTGCTTTAGTTTCTTTTGTGTGTGTAGTTTTCTTTTTATTTGAATCAATGAAGGCTTTTGAGTTAACTTTATAATCCTAATATTTTTTGCTGCTTTATCCTCAAGTAAAAGTAACACATAAAGTTGTGGGAAAATACTGTTTTGATTATCTTTGCGATTCAGAGAAGTAAAAGGAGCTTTTTAACCAAGAGCTGGTTAGTGACACAAATACAAGCTAGTCTTAAACCTTTCATGGAAAATGCCGAAGAGTGGTAATTTACTGAAAATTAATAAAACTCTTCATATGAACCTGATATGTTTATTTATAGAGTTCAGAGCAAGAAGTTGATAGCTTCATTTTATTCTGTGCCGATTGGGGCAACATTAGGTTATTTTGGTATTGGCCAAAGTTAAAAATGAGTTAAATAAAATACATATAGAAGAAGACATTTAAATTGGAGAAGAGTTGAAAACAATATTACTTCTTAAATGGTTGGAAAAGCTGGGAATTTTTAGTCCAGAATAAAACACAATCTAGGTAAAGCATAAGGAGCTCTGGTGATGTAGTGGTTTTTGCATCGGCTACTAATTGCTAGGTCAGCTGTTTGAGTCCTCAAGCTGCTCCGCTGGAGAAAAATGAATCTTTCTACTCTTGTGAAGAGTTATCATCTTGGAAATCCACAGAAATATTTCTCCTCTGTCCTGTAGGGTCACTGTGAGTTGAAATCAACTCCATGGCAGGGTGTGAGACAGTGGAAAGCATTAGGCTTGACATTTTAAATCCGTATACACTTCCCTACAAGAATAAAAGAAGACTAAGTGGTTCTATGTGATGTAAAGGAATGCAGATATGGGCTTAATAATATAAATAACTTGATCACTGAAAAGGAAGTAGATTGTCTCAAGAGTATACTAATTCTTTACTAAAGCAGGGACTCTCTGTAAGGCCTTAACACAAATATTGCCTTGTTCTGTAGAAAATTGAAAGATAACTTCTTCCAGTTGCAAGAATCTGTAACTGGTAATTCATAGTTCTTCATACTTACCATGTTGTTAAAAATACCTAGTAACTAACCACTCATCTGTTAAGATAAGTAATTGTCTAGAAGTGACTAGTGTTTGATAATGGTAATAGATAAACTCTCTTAACCTTAAGGCTAATTGTACATACAATCAGTGGTGTGTATTTTTTTTAAATCAATTTATTGAGGCTCATACAATTCATCACAATACATAGATCAATTGTGTAAAGCACATCTATACATTTGTTGCCCTCATTCCCAAAATTTGCTTTCCTCCATCAGCTCATTTTCCTTTTTTTCCCCTCCCCCTCCCTTCCTCCTCCCTGTCCCCCATGTACCCTTGGTAATTTATAAATTATTATTGTATCTTACATTACACTGCCCGGCGTCTCCCTTCACCCACCCCTCTGCTGCCCGTCCCCCAGAGAGGAGGTTATATGTAGCTCCCTGTGATCAATTCCCCCTTTCTACACCCCCCTTCCCTCCTGGTTTTGCCACTGTCACCCCTGGTCCTGAGAGGTTCATCTGTCCTAGATTCCCTGCATTTCCAATTCCCATCTGTACCGCTGTGCATCATCTGGTCTAACCAGGTCTGCAAGGCAGAATTGGGGTCCTGGTAGTTGGTGGGAGGCAGTGTTGTGTATTTTGTGTGCTAAATGAGTGAACAGATTGTTGGACTCATAATAAATAAAAGTCACCTTAATGAAATAATAAATAGCTATTAATTAATACTTAGATTACTTTCATTAGCCTCTGATAGTGGCCATTGGCAATTCATCCCTTACATGTGAGCTGCATATTATATTTAATGTAAATAAAAACCAGATCTAATTGATAACAAAGGAGCTCCCAATTTTGGAAAATATTTCCAATCTATTCCTTGAAAATTAGAATTAATACTAGGGGACTTTGAAAAGTTAGTGGGGGAAAAGTATATATAATCATTTTCCATGAATTTTTTGAAGCCACCTTGTATATGTTAACATAAGATTAAACTCACTACCATCTAGTTGATTCTCATTGGACAAGTAGGTTTCCCTGTGGGTTTCCAAGACTGTACCTTGTAACTCTTCACAGGAGTAGAAACCTAGTCTTTCTCCCATGAGTAAGACGCTGGTGATTTCAAATTGCTGACATTTCTGTTAGCAGCCGAACATGTTACCGTGTGCTTATCTTATAATTTATGGATTTTAGGGTTTATACCAGTGCCTCATCCAATGATCATTAAAAGCTGTGTATTGGAAAACAACATATTTTATAGTTCCTGAATACACAAGAGTGAAAAAACTAAGAAGGCATTGAGCCTCTAAGTGTCATAGGAAAAATTAAGTATATTAATAAGCTAATTTTTTATTTACAGCTGGCTGATATTCCTGTTACAATATGCACTTATCCATTTGTATTTGATGCTCAAGCAAAAACAACTCTGTTACAAACAGATGCAGTCTTACAGATGCAGGTAAAATATTGTCTAATACTAAGTTGATTCGAAGTTATTTTTAAACTGGTTACACTTTTTTAAAGTAAATTTTAAATTTGTAATAATAAGTGAAAAAAAAGAAAAAAATAATAAGTGATATTTGGGTGAAATTTTTTACGTTTGTGATCTTTCATAAAGTACCTTGGGTACCTATTACAAGAATTGTTAAGTGTGATGTGTATGTTCTTTATATGTATTTTTTATCATTTTATTGGGGGTTCATACAACTCTTATCACAATCCATACATCAGTTGAATCAGGCATGTTTGTACCTATGTTGCCCTCATTCTTTTCTAGACATTTAGTTTCTATTGAGCCCCTGGTATAAGCTCTTTTGTGTATGTTCTTATTAGGACTGCTTATATGTATGTCAGTGAAAACAGAATAGTTTCACCTTTAAACATTTTATGTATACATAATTATGTCAGCTTATTTCATCGCAGAAATATGTAATATCCTTAAACTAGACTTTTATTACTAGTTTACTTGATGTAAATTATTGGTTTATTTCAAATCTTGATTGATGAACAGTAGAAGATGACTAGAGGTAAGGTGATATAAAAAGTAGGAGATATTTTATCACCTGTTAAAAGAATTTAAAATTTCCTTGAAGAAAGCTTTAGTATAAAATAAGGTTGGTTGTCAGCCCCCTCCCTCCCTTCTTTAGACCTCCACTGCCCATTTAATATTAGCCATTCTTTCCTTTATAATCAGGCTTCTGAGGGTATCCTAGGTTTGTTTTATCACTTGAATCTATAAATAAAATAGCTTTTAAGTTTCTTCAGCTTTCAGAATATCTGGCTATACAGGCTGAGGGCTAAAGAAAGGATGCCATAAAACCTGTAATATTTCTACAAAGGAATTTTAGAGGTGTGCCTTAGTTTAATTTTCAACAAGAGAGGAAATATTTTCTAGGTTTTTGTACTTACTCGGAGAGAGATGAAGCTCTCTATTCCTATAAAGATTTACAGTTTTGGAAACCCATAGGGACAGTTCTTCTCTGACGTACAGTCACTATGAGTCAGAATCAATTCAATGGCAATGAGTGTTTTTTTAATACTAGCTAGTTAAAGCAATAATATTCCATTTAGAACAAGAACACAAGGGAAATCACAAGAAAATGGAAATAATTTTAAATGATTTTTGAGTAAATAAGGTGATAACCATACTATAGGAATTTCTACAATACCTACTTAGGCTGTTTCTTATTCTCAATTTTTTTACCACTTTAACTTTTTTTTAATGCCTTATATTCCTTTATTTCCATTGTGCTTCACCATTATTATTCATTATCAATTTCATTATTATTATCCATTTATGATCGAGGGCAAAACCTGTGAGTTAGGCAGGTATGGTCAGAAATTTGTCCAAGGTTTCAGAGGGAGGAAGGGCTCGAGACTCAAGCACATTCACAAATATTTGTTGATAAGCAAAATATTTGTTGGGTACCTACTGTGTGCCAGGAACTCAGCTTTGGGAGGCTGCTGTTCACTTCCGTTAAGTCAGTTCCAATTCATGGCAACCCCAGGTGTGCACAGGGTTTTCAAGACTATGAATCACCAGGCCTGTCCTCCTAAATGCTTCTGAGTGGTCCGAACTGCCCACCTCGATTAGAGAGGAGTCCATAACAGGCCTAGCCGCAGAGATAAACTCATAATTCAAAAGAGAAACAAATGACCAGACCACACAAGACAAAGCAGATCGTTCAGGATGAAAAAAGGCAAGGGTTCCCAGGAAGAAATCACATCCTAATGAGAGGATTAGGAAAGACCGTTTTCAGGAAAGAAGTGACATGTAAGAAGACCTATGAAGACTTTGACAAAGACATAAAGTGCTTCCAAACATGAGATCATCATAAAGAACAAAATTTGAAGTTTGAAAATGTTTTTTTTTTT